CCTTCGGATATGACCTCCCCTGGCTTTGTGGAATTAGGCTTTGATTATGTGTGCATTCATTTGATTTCATTATTTAGCAATGCAGGCTCTTGAAACTATTAAGAGCCGAATGGATGAGGCTGTAAAAAATATCCCGAGACTGAGAAGGACTGGGTTCTTGTCCAGACACTTCTGTCAAATTGCTGTGTGGCCTTGGGAAAATCCCTGCCCTCTCTGAGCCTCATTTTTCTGAAGTGTAGTATTAGATGAGGTGAGGCTAAAGTTACTTCCATCTATGAACAAGTCTAATATTCTAAGTAGTTTCTGAAACATTTTTTTAAGTCAAGGATTTTTTCAAGATATTTTCACAGTATTATCTCCATTTTAAGAGCTCTGTAATAGCCCGATGGGCTGGCTGCACATACTAAAGACTGCTGTCCCCAGATTTAATTACCTTAGGGTATCAAAATGAGTCATTTTGCTCACCCCATCTGCAGCCTGTGCTGAGATAGAGGTTATGGGATAACAACTTACAGGCTAACTCGTTAATTCTTGGGATTAACGATGCAGTATGTCCACAAGACACATGGGTGCCCAAACGTTTCCATCTAGAGACCTATCTCTGCCCCATGTTGTAAGGTAATGGGGATGTCTTTATTCATCTTCCCTCTGCCTGTAGACAGTTGCATAACATAGATGCAGTGCCTCCCGGGCACCCAGCCCCAAGCACTGTCACTTTCTCAAAGTCCAAAGGTCTCTTGGTAGCCAAAAGCAAAATTCTGATGATGCCCTAAAGGGCTGAATTTATAGGGATTCAAACCACAGCATCAGTGAAGTCCTTGCTGTTTTCTCATAGGTGTTTACTTGAGAGCACCATTCCTAACTATTGGATCAGACAGTGGGGGAAATTAGACCTCCAAATGGTGAAACCTATGGATTTATGCCTGGCTGAGAGCACTCCCTTCCTCCTTGTAGTGTCAAAGCTGATGACCTCTGCAACATTAATTTGTTTCTCCATCTGTGATATGCATTGCAGGAGGATGTGAGGAATAGGCTGGATGCCACCCAACTATGTTTCTCCTTTACATATTGTTGGGGACTCGATTCTGGCATCCCTCTGGTCTTTGTTTAAATCTTCCCTTTTGGATTCTGCTAGTTTCTTTACTTTCTGATCTAAGTGAAATTATAAGTTGTTTTGCTAGTGGCAATGCAAAACTGGATGGTTTGAAAGAACTAGATGTGGGCAGAGTAGACACTTTTACTAAACTGAATAATAAAATTGGAAAAATTGAATTATGCAATTAGTTTTTATACATTTCATCAAGAGATTTTTCAAAAATATATTTGACCAAGAAGAAATTGAATAATGAAGAAGAAAGATCTGTTCCAAGTGGTCTCCCCTGATATCTTTACTTGTGTTAAAGCAATTCAAATTTAGTAGAGATTGAACAGAGTAGGTTGTTCAATGTGCTGATAGAAATTCTAATTTTATGTAATTACTTTTGAAGCCTGATATTTCCTGAAACTCAGGCCTTCTGCAAAGAACCTTCAATATGAACATTCTTATTAAAAACCAACACTACATATCACAGAAACATTACCCACTCAGTTCTAACACAACCACAGAAACAGGTAATAGTCATTTCCCCATTTCACAAGTCAGCCACTGAGGCTCAGAAAATTCACTGATGTTCTTAAGGTCATATAGATAAGAAATCATAAAGCCTGGATTTGAACTCAGTTCTGTTTGGCTCTAATTCCAGTGCCCAGTGCAGATACTTGTCAAAAGAAAAATGTTTTTACAAATGTTTTGAATTCTAGGTTAAAATGTACCTGCTCTACTTTCACATTCCTTCTTGAATATTTTTTGATCCCATGGTTACTTCGGACTGGTACCTTGGCATTCTGAAGGGGGAAAGAAAGGCACTCTGAAGCAAGAGAGGTCTCTAGGTACCTCCTTTCCTATGGGGAGCCTTATTTTGTGCTCAGCTTGGAAAGTCAGGCCTGAGGACAAGTAGAGTATTCAGACCTCAAGAAACTGCTTTGTGCCTGTCTCCAGTGTTGAAGTCTACCCTCTTATCCCCTTTCCTACCTCACCCACCTGCCTTTTGACAGGGTCTTTCTATCTCTGCTTTCTGCCTTGTGTCCTACTGGTGTCTTGAGAGGGTTGGAGGCAAACAAGACAGTGTCAATTTTGCCAGCAGAAACACAGCATATCACTGCTCTTAAGTTTAGCCCTATATGTTCAAGCAGGGAAGAAATGACAAACGGCTTATTCTAAGGCCTTTGATTTCCTTCGAAATTGTAGGCATCTAGGCTGACTCATCTCTCAAAGGCTTTTTTTTCTCTCTCTCTCCTTTTTGGGCTGGTGTTGATTTGAGATTTTACTGTTTGTTCCCACCTTACTTTTGTGAGGAAGGGAGGGATTGATTTTCATACTATTTTTTGAGGAGAGAACCAGCTCTGCGCTTGGGGTGACCAGATCTGGAACACCTCCAGAAGAAGAAATAGCTGAGACTCCAAGACAGGTATGGAATGTTTGGCTTGGGGTAAGGGGAGACGGAGAGTGATATTAGAAGAATGAAGCCAGATGTAGGCTGTGGGTGTCAGGATGAGACCCTCAACTAATAGGTTCTAGGCCTGCTATTGTGAGTCTGGACTGATAGAGGTTTACTCTGCTATTGTTGGAGATGTATATGCCTGTTGTTCAAATGGTCATCTTTTGGTTGCAGTTTGGTGGCTGGGTTTAGTGCTCACTTTGGATCCAGAGGATAGTGCTTTGAAGTTGAAGGAGCTTTAAAAATCCATGCTAGAGGTTTTCCTCTTAGCTTAGCCCGAAAGTCACAGAACGATCCCCCTCCCTTATTGTGCTGTGCCTGTTATCCGGCAAGCATTTTTTGAATATCTGTGACTTGGCCATTAAGGAAAAATGGGCAAAATAGAATTCTGGAGATAAAATTCAAAGTGTAGGATTTTCTTGGACAAATCATTTAGTTTGATTATTGCATGATAAACCCTTACCTACCATTTCTCTATCAAAACTATATTAACAAATCTTTGAGATCTAAGCTCTCCTCAAATAATATATTGACTATTATTATAAAACTCCATGGGACAGGGAAGATCAGAAAAGTAGCATATGACTCCCTCCTTTTTATTGTCTAATGGTTTGGATCTTCATGCCACAAATTATCTTCTTTTTTAGGAGCCATCATACCCAAACCATAGACTTGGGAGCTAACCTAAATTCTTTCCTTTACAATTAAATTTCTCCACTAAATCCTGTCACTTCTCCCTAGTGTCACTGACTTGGATTAGCATACCCTGCCTCTTGGCTGATTTACCTCCTTCAAGCTCTCTATCCAAACCAAGCTTTACATGGTTCTCTATCAGTTTTTCTAGCTACCACTGTGGCATACAGGGCCATTTCTGACCTCCCACCTGCCCACCCAGACTTATTTCCTTGCATCCCTTTTTGCTGCCTAAAGAAGATGACAACCTCTCTCTCATCTCTTTGCCTTTGAATAAACTGCTCTCTCCCTCTGGATGCAATCTCCTCCTTGTCTCCAGGCAGACTTAGATGTTTTCTCCTTTCTGCTCTCACAGATCTTTGTTTATATCTTGACTGACTGTCTTATCACAAGGTTTTGTAAATTGTTGCTAACCTGTGCATCTCCTTCACTGTACTGTTAAATCTTTTATGAAAGGAGTAGCATTATCTTGCTCATCCTTTGAATCTTTAGCACTTGGCACAAAGTGGGCAATTAATACAGATTCCTATTTTTTTTCTCTTGGAAAAACAAATGAGTAACAGGATGTTTAGGAAAGGGTGTTGTGTAGGGTGCAAGGAGATACCTACTAGGGTATGATGTGCAACCTGGAAGCAATATGAGATAGTGGAGTCCATGGAGAAAGCCATATAAAGCAGATTTGCCATCATAGTAAGACAAACTTTCCTCTGATCACCAATTCTCTATAGGGAATCTCTGGAAATGGCTTTAAAATAATATTTGCTTTGGTGCAAGTTGTTTTTTTTTCTGCATGAAATGTAATATAATCAAGTTGCACAATTTTAGTAAACAGAAAAGACAATAGGCAAACAAAATACTACCACTTAATGCAGAGACTGTTAGTATTTGGCTATATTTTCTTCAGTCTTCTATTTTTATTCATGTGTTTCTTCACATAGTTGTATTCATAATGAATATGATTCTATATTCTGTATTTGTTCTTAAAAAGTTTTTTTTGTAACCATCACTTTAGGATTTCATAATTCTCCATACTTTGGTCATTACATAATTTGTATAACTATTCTCATTGTTGAGTTAGCTTTATTCCCTTAATTATTTTACAGTTATGGTTCATGTGCCTATGGTTTTCCCTGTGCATAGGAAGATTTCACTAAGATAGATTCCTAGAAGGGGCATTCCTGGGGCAAAGGGCCTGGGGAAAAATTTTGGCTCCAGACCCACGTGTTCTATTGGTTTTTCTGGGAGACCTGTACAATTTTACAGTGCTCCTAGATCAGATGAAATTCTTTTTTTCTTTTAACCTAATTCATGCATTGAATATTATAGTGAAAAACTTTTATCAATGTTCTAATTAATTAATAGAAAATATTATTTTATTCTTGTCTTAAAGTGCTTTTGAAAATTATAAGGGGTTCTTCCCTTTTATCTTGCTTCTTTTCTTCTTTTTCTTTCTTCTTCTTCTTTGCTAATTAGGTTTTTCTCTTTTCTGGGCTATCTGTCCAGAGCTGATTTTTTTAAGTTAGATTTTTTTAAAAAAATAAGCACGCAGAGGCAGCTCTGCTTGAGGGTGAAGCCACCTCCCAGTTTTTCCTCCCCCTCTACCCCCCCTCATAGTTCTCTCCACCAGGTCCAGTGACAATTGGATGATGCAGTCTAGATAATCATCCGATTCCAGAATGGGTGGCTACATTCCTCTTCTGAAGGCAGCAAGGACACTGTGCCCCAGAATCATGCCCCCTTTGCTTTTGTTGTCCGCCTTCATTTTTTTAGTGAGCGTCCTGGGAGGAGCCCCAGGACAGAGTCCAGACCACAAGAAGAAGATGGTATCAGTACACAGCCTCTCCGAGCTAGAGCGTCTGAAGCTGCAAGAGACTGCTTACCAAGAACTCCTGGTCAGGCATTTCCTCTCTGATTTCAAACCCAACCGAGGTAAGCTGTACCCCCGAGTGTGGCGTCCTCGCCTTCGGGTGAGTGGACCCCCGGGGCGGGACGGGACAGATTCGGGGTTCAGGAGCATGGGAGGGTCTTGCACTTGGTCTAGGACCAGGTCCACTGTTCAGAAGTCTGAGGGACACTGGAGAGAGGACTGGGACAGACAGAGACTACGGGTGGAAGAGATCGAGAGACATTCGGGGAGAGAGGACGGCACGCAGCCCGGCAGCGATCCGGAGGGGTGCGGGTGTGCGGGGGTGGCGGCGGAAGGTGCGCTGCCGTGAGCTCTGCCCACCTCACTAGTCTGAGGGAAGCCTGCGGGACGCAGCACAGGACCGGGTTCGAGCTCATCAGGAGACCAAAGGGCTGCCGGCGCGGATCTGACCGCCCAACGCGCGAGTCAGGGAGGTGGGAGAGGGTCGCGCTGGCCGAGGGGCACCCGGGCAGTGTAGGAAAGTGCAGGGGGCGGGAGGTTTGCTAGGTGCGTGACACCAGAACTGCGTGAACTCGTTGAAACTAAGGGCTAGGAGACCCCGCGGGCAGCCGTCTCTGCGGGATTCGGAGTGTGGGAACTGCCAGGTGTCGCCGCTACTCCCGCCGCAGCGCCGGGAGCCGACGGCAATCCGGGTGCAAGCGCGCCCGCAATGGCGGGGCGACCCTCACTCGCGTAGACGCTGAGGACAGAGCCCCACCTCTCGCCTCTTGCCTGTTGCATTATCCGGGCACCTCAGAGCCCCTGAATTTCTGTTTTAAGTGTTGTGTTGAGATACTACTGGTGCGTAGCAAAATGCGCTCATTGAGCTTTAGCTTGTCTGGTTTGGTTAAATTCTTGGAGTCCTGTAGGTATTAGGTAGGACTGATCCTGTCGTCAGGTGGGGAAACTGAGGCTGAGAGAAAGCAAAGCACTTTCCGCGGGCTGGACGGAGCTGTCCCTCTTACAGCGCCTCCCCCCTCTGCAGATCAAAGCGTTGCGTTGTTTTAGTCACTTATCAAGTCCTATTTGTGTGTAAATGTGGGTGCCTTTTCTTTTTCTCTTCCCGTAGCTCTAACCACTGACCGTTCAAACACCTTGGAGAACAATTTTCTGGTCTTAAGAGGAAAAGACAGGGGTGAGGGTCTCTTGTATTTTCTTTGGGAAAGAAAAAGAGTGCTGCACCCCTTCCCCCACCCCAGCAGGCCCCGCGTCCACTGGAGACTGGGCGGTGCCCACTGCCCCTGAAGACACTCCCCCTCCCTCCCAGAAACCCCTCAAGGGGGGGGTGCTATCAGGAAATGGCGAAATAGCAATGGGGCGGTCCTCTCAGACCTGCCTGAGCTTTCCCTGTGCGCGCACCCTGGACAGAAGACCCTGAAGAAATCGCCCTCCTTGCTTCTAGGTGGTCACCCCGGGCGGGACTTAAGACGGGGACCTTGAGCCCCGTCGGGTAGTTTGTAACCTCTGCAGGGTCTTTTTGGCTTGCTCCCCAGAGAGGGGCGCTGCGGGTCCCTGTGGGGTGCGTTGCGGGGGTGGCAGTGGGCGGGCGCTTGGAGAGGAGTGCCCCCCCCATCGCTTAAGCGTTGCTGCGCTTTGACGTTTCTCATTCTCTCTCCCTGGCTCCCCAGCCGTGTCATCACTCAAGACATTTGGTGTTCGCCTGGAAGAGGTGCTGGTGAATGAGTTTACCCGCCGCAAGCATCTTCAACTAACCGCCGAGATGCAAGTTGAAGAAGCCACCAGTCGGGCTACCGGCCGTCGTCGTCGAGGAAACGTGGTGCAAAGGATGTTTGGTCGCATCAGGCGTTTTTTCAGTCGCACTAGGAATGAACCTGCTCTGCCGGAGGAGTTCACTCGCCGCGGGCGTCGAGTGAGTTAAACCTTCCAGGTTTCAGACATGGGTCCTGAGGGGTGCAGTGGTGTTGGGCAGAATGTCCAGGGGTCGGGTCCTCAGAGGAGGGGGGGCTCGAGCAGAATTTGTTGGAAGGGTGTATTTGGCTTGCCACAAAGAGTCTCTCTGGTTTTGACTGTCGCACAGTGCTCAGGAGGGTCAGACCCCCAGCCCCCCTTAAGATGCTCTGATTTCTCCACAGGGTGCCGTGTCTGTGGATAGCTTGGCTGAGCTGGAGGATGGGGCCCTGCTGCTGCAGACCCTGCAACTTTCCAGGGTTTCGTTTCCTATTGGGCAGAGGCTTTTGGGATCTAAAGTAAAGATGAGCCTCAATCCTATGGCAAAACAAATCCCCGAAATTGTTGAAGCTTGCTGCAAGTTCATTGAGGAACATGGTAAGGGGCACTAAAAAAGGTTAACTAAAGACAGAAGGCTATGAAAGAGAAAGGAGGGATGTTCTAGAAATGGGGAGAGAAAAAGGTCATGGGGTGAAGGGCTTGGATAACAATACCCTGACACCAGAGGAGGCTTGGGTAAAGTTCCTAATGGAATAAAAAGAAACTCTCACAAGGAAGGGGGTCAAAGATGGTAAAGATTTGTATTTTTCTTTCAGGGTTAAGCTCGGTGGGGATTTTCACTGTTGAATACTCTGCACAGAAAGTGCTCAAGGTAAACTGACTATGTTTCCATGTTTGTTCCTTGAGTAAGAAAAACGAGATGGAAGTAGGGGCTCCCCCACAGACTTGAGGGCTGTGTCATGAGAGGTGGGAAAAAAGGTCTTCTGTCTAGCACCCCACACACACCCACATACCACATTACCAGCTACCTCCAGTGAAGCCTGGGACTTTCTGAAGGAATGACCAAGAGGTAGCAAGGAATGACCTGTGGTAGGCAGGACAGATAGTTCATATCTTCTCTCCCTTTTTCTAGCTCCGTGAAGAATTTGATCAATGTCTGAATATAGTGATTGATGAAAATCAGAATGTGCATGATGTGGCTGCACTCCTCAAGGAGTTTTTCCGTGACATGAAAGATTCTCTGCTGCCAAATGATCTCTACATATCTTTCCTCCTGACAGCAAGTGAGTCCTCTGCCCACCTCCCTTTGTTCTGGGCAAGGAAGGGAAATGTTGTGGGGATCTAGGGGGCCTAAGGACAAAACTCAAGCTGCAGGACCTTCAAGGAACTGAAGCAGAATGAACACCAGAAGATGAAAAACACTTCTCCAGAATAAATAAAATTCAATTAAAAATAAAAAGTTTGAAAAACCCTTCCAAGTTACTTTCTGTGTCATAAAAGTCTCTTATGAACTTGTTGCTTGGGAATTTCTTGAAAATGTGTGTGCCCTTTCAGGGCAAAGAAGAATTCAGGATGTATAGAAATCTGGCTTTGAAGTGGGTGGGGTGGGGAAGGACACTTCTTGCTTTCTGGACTCTTGAATTCAAATGCTTTAGAAGTAAGCAAAAGCAAGTTGCAGGGTACTCCACAGCCCCCAGCAATTCTGAAGCAGAAACTCATGTCCTTTGGTATCAGGCTACTGCCTAGGCTAGTCCCTGAGCCAGGCTCTGTTTTTCTTCCTGTAGCACTGAAGCCCCAGGATCAGCTTGCTGCCCTGCAGTTGCTGGTCTACCTGATGCCACCCTGCCACAGTGACACCCTGGAGCGTCTGCTGCAGGCCCTGCATAAAATCACCGAGTACTGCGAGGACTCCATTGGTCTTGATGGACAGTTGGTAAAAAGACCTGGGAAAGGGTTTCAAGGACTGCAGGAGGGGAAGTGTAGGAAAGTGTATGAGTGGGTAGGATGGCAAAAAGAGGGAAGAGAGAGAAGCATAAAAGGAGACACCTCTATTTATACAACTTCCAGTCCTTGCTCAGTCAGCGGTCTGCTTTCTGTTACTTAGGTTCCTGGCAACCGCATGACTTCCACCAACTTGGCCCTAGTGTTTGGATCTACTCTCCTGAAGAAGGGAAAGCTCAGCAAGAGAGAGTTCAGGAAAAAAAAGTTGGGGATTGACCACTGCGTTGCTTCCGTCAATGTTGTCCGCGCCATGATTGATAACTGGGATGTTCTCTTCCAGGTAGGGGAGGTTTGGGGTAGCACTTATTTCACACATTCCTTATCTGCTCACAGCACAAGGGAAAGTTGTATGTGGACAACAAAAGCAGTCAGTCACAAAATCTCCCCATCTAAAAATTCTTCCCCTATATGGTGCTCGTCATGCCTTCAGGCCTGAGCACATGATGAAGAAAAGGATACATGGAAAGGTTCTATGCAATAGAAGTTAACACTGCTAATTTAACCCATAGGTGCCTCCCAATATTCAGAGGCAGGTCGATAAGCGTGTTTGGAAATCCAGTCCTGAGGCCCTTGACTTTATCAGACGCAGGAATCTGAGAAAGATCCAGTGAGTTGTTGTTGTTGTTTATGCATGGCCTGAAGCTCATTTTCCAATAAGATCTTGCAAACTTGGTTAAATTAACCAACCCAAGTACAAACTAACTTACTTGTTTCAAATTCCTTCCCATTCAGGAGTGCACGCATCAAGATGGAAGAGGACGCTCTGCTTTCTGATCCAGTGGGATCCTCTGCTGAGGCCCGTGATGCTATCCTTGGTCAAAGCACGCCCTTAGATGAAGGTCAGTTCCATACTGGAGGTCATGCCCTTGATGATGATCAGTCCCTTTATGAAGGTCAGGCCCTTCCTTTGGGTCAGGTCCTTGCTAAATAGGGGCCCCTTGAGGAAGAGGATTCCTCTGAGGAAGGCGTGTCAGTCAATGAAGAGCTAGTATTTAAATATCTTTATCAATAGTAGCTTTGGGGGAAGTTCAAAGTCTTGAGATCCCAAATGACCTTAACATTCAAGGCCCACATCTAGAGGGTATACCAGAAATGAAAGAGAAGATGATGATGATACCCTGAATTTTAATCATCTTCCTCCACTTGAGGATATTTTAGAATCTGATGATGAAATTTCATAACTCATTGGAGTCTTAGATTTTGAAGAAATACCTTATTTTGATATGGCCCCAGACCCTGAAGGAGTTCCAGATGTGGAAGAAATCTTGAATCCTGGAGAAAACCTGAACCACGACCTCGAAGAAGGACCAGATTTTGAAGACCAACAAAATACTGAACTCGCCGAAGTTCCGTATCTTGATGTAATCCCGAACAATGAAGACGACTCAGGTACAGGGGAAATCCCAGGTGAGGAGGAAGCCCTAAATATTGATGAAATCCCAAACAATGCAGATGCCTCAGGTAGTGGTGGGTGGTCCCTAAGATTCTGAAGAAAACTCCAATCTTGATGAGATCCCAGCTGGTGATGAAGCCACAGGTAAGGAAGCTTCAAATGCTATAGAGATCTCAGGCCATGAAGATTCTCTGGAGGTCAGACTCTGAAGAAAACCCTGAGTTTGAAGATGTCCTAGCTCTTCATGTGGTACCAAGTCCCGAAGAAACCCCTGCAGGACAGGAAATCCTCAATCAGAAAGAATCCCCGGGGGTTAATGAAGTTTCAGAGCCTGAGGGCACCTGAATTCACAATGAAATTCCAGATTCCCAGAAAGACCAAATCTATACTTTTGAAAATGATGAAGTGAGCACTGTGACTCCAGACATTGAAGATGTCTCCATTCTCAATATAGTTCCAGACCCTTCACAAGACCTAGCTGTCAATCTTGAAGTTATGAATGTAGAAGAAGTCCCAATGCTTAACGATCTAGACACTAAAGAAGTTTGGAATCCAATTGGCAGCTCAGTTCCTTAGAGAATGTGCAGATGTGGCATCAACTGTAGATACCACACTCCTTTAAAACAAATCTCAGGCTGGCCAAGTCATGAGCTTCAGGTTTTCCCTAGATTTGCTGAAGAGTGTGATTCCTGTTTTCTCCCCTCCACTCAGGATTTTAAGCTTCCCACTCCAGTTTTGTTACTCATTTGTGTGGTAAAATTAGTCAGGCTTCTTTTAGGGTAGTGGTAGTTGTTAGGTTGCCCTCTTCCCCATTTCCCCAGTGACATTGCCCACTTGCTCTGAGCTTGGGGTCTATACCTCCCCTCCTTCACCTAACCCAGCTCTTTCCCTAGCTTCCACAGTGGTCCTAGATTTAGAGATCTGTGTGAAGATCTTTTCTTACATGTTGAGTGGGGAGAATCATTACTGACCTACCTTCTTGCCTTGTATTTTATTTGAAAGTCAAAACTGGGTCTTACTGCTTGCATGCTATGTACAGAATGAAATCTAGAAACATAAGGAGTTAACATTGTTATTATTTTCCAGTTTCTGCTGAGGATCCATCTATGCTACCTGGCACTGCCATTTCCAAGGACGAGGAGGAAGCAGCGGGCAACCTCCCCAATCGGGAAAAAGACCGTCCATTGCTCCGTGTGCCCCGAGCCAAAAAGGCCAAAACTGGCACCAGCTACTTCTTACCCTAGATGGTTTTCCTTCTGTAAGATTCAGGACAGGGGAAAAGGATGGGGTAGACTTTGAATGTCACAGCAAACTGTAAAGAGAACCTTAAAGATAGACACACATCTGATGGTAGGAAGGCATTCCCACTGATGCTCGGGTCAGGATGGGAATTCCACATACACTGCCAGCCCCTTCACTGGGGATGCTCGGTCTTTTCAGCTGGTAAAAACATAGTTATTTCAGTGCCATGTCTGGGCACCCCACTGCAATCTCTTTTACCCCTCGATCCTGGCATTCTTTCACTACAGCCCTTTCTATAATTGATGTTACATTTGTGGTGAACACCTGTCTCAGAGAAGCTCACAAATCTCGAGGTGCTTTCCCTCCCCCAAGAGGATTGCATGCTTTTTGTGACTTTCCTACCCTCCTCCTGAGAGTTTAATTGGAAAGGCCCTCAAGAGGTGTGCTAGAATGTTAGGTCAGCCTATGGACAGCTGGCAAACAATTAATTCTAAATCATGTCATACCAACTCATAGCTGTGTCCCCTCAGCAGCTCTGCTGCTTCAAGATTTTTTTTTCCCAAATTATTTAGGCCAATGGCTTGTCAAACAGCCACTCCCCAAATTCTGTGCAGATTTGCTCAGGTCATGCCAACAGAGAAACTGCATGCATATGTCTAACAAGCTTTTCTGGGGTTAATCAAAGTTAGAGGAAAATTTACAAACTGAATTTGTTTTAAAGAAGGCTGGTGTTCACATCCATTTGTCTGCAAAATGGCTAGTTAGGTAAGGACACATAGTTCCAAGGAGCTAAGATCATCTGATTACAGATATTCGAATCTATTGTCTCTGTAGTTCCTCTGTGCAGGGCGGTACAAGTTTGTAGGACATGCTCTGATAACGCACAGATATGGGTTACGTATGACCTCCAAATTACAGCTGATCTGTCTGGGTAACGCCTGCTAAGATCCATAGAATGAAGATTGTGTTGTATTGAGGGATAGAATTTGATCATATGATGGGTAACAACCATAAAGCTCGAAGATTTGTGATTCTTAAAACTTCTCTGGCATTTAATCATTAATAAACATCTATATTGTGTCAGCATCATATACATGGGCTACTGTGTATTTTTTTTTTCCTTTTTAAATTTTGGGGATGAGTTGGGAATCTGACTGAAGATCTGAAGGGGGAAGGACATAGGGAAAAGGCATAAAGGGAGGAGGGTAATGTAGAACAAAGAGGAAGTGAAGGCATGAGCTGAGGGGAAGGGCAAATTGACATGGGATGAATCGGAGGGGGAACACAGGAGGAAGTGACAGGGAGTAAAGGGGAAGTGTGATGTGGAATAAAAGGGATGGTGTTCAATAAGAAAGGGGGTGACATGTGATAAGGGGCAGGGTTCCTGTGGAATAAAGAAGGGGAGACATGGAATTACAGTGTGGAACAAGGAGGAGAGAGTGACAGGGTGAAAGGGAGAGGGTGATGTTGAATAAAGGGGGTGGCTGGTGTCACGTGGGACAAGTGGGAGGAGTCATGCGGACTACAGAAGAAGGGATGACATGGAACAAAAGGGAAGGGGTGATGTGACATAGGGTAGAGAGAAGGGGAGACATGGAAAGAAGTGGAGGAGATTACCCAGGATAAAGGGAAATAATCACGTGGAACAAAGAGATGACACAGAGTTCCAGAAGAGGTGGTGTGATACAGGTGAAACAGGGGCGACGTGGAATATGGGGGAAGGGCTAATGTGGAAGAAAGGGGACTGGAGAATGGGAAATTAAGGAGAAGAAATAATGTGGGCTAACAGAAGAGGCGAAATGGGAAAGGGGAGGGGATGAACTGGAATAAAGGGGAGTAAAAGGAATAAAGGACGAAGGGCTATAAGTGAATGAAGAGAATGGAAGGGCTGTCGTGAACAAATGGTAAAGGAGGGACAAAGGGAAGTAAGACAAAGGAATGAAGCTTAATAGGAGGTCTTCTAAGTGGGAAGAAAGACAACTGGGGAAAATATAAGACGTTCTCAACTGAGAAATTTCGCCTGAATCTGTGAAAAATGCAGACTGGTGCAACCACTGTGGAAAGCAATATGGAGACACCTCAAAGAATTAGGACTAGAGGTTCCATTTGACCTGTCTAACCCTCTGCTGGGTATCTTTCCTAAAGAATTAAAAGAATCATATCACAGTGATATATGTGCACCCATGTTTATAGCAGCACAGTTTGTAATAGCTAAAACTTGGAAACAGCCCATTTGCCCATCAGTTGGAAACTGGATAAAGAAGATGTGGTTTTTCTATAAAATGGAATATTACTCAGCCATAAAGAATGAGAAATTAGATTCCTTCATAGGAAAATGGATACATATCGAGGATATGCTTCTAAGTGAAATACATAAGTCACACATGTATAAATACCGAATAGTTTCTCTGGTGTGAAAAACTATAATGGTACATAAGATCCTAATGATATAATTGACAATGTGAAATAGGAAGAAAAGGGCTAAAGGTGTAGGGAAATTGGGAAGGGTAGGGGAAAGGTAATAAGGGAAAAGAAAAAAATATGAGAAAATGGGAATAAAGTGTTTGTAAATGGGGAGGGGAGGAGGGCTGAAGGGAGGGCAGGGACAAGGGGAAAAAATGAGAACCAAGACCTGTCATGTAAAGATACAAGATCCCAATTATGAATGTAATTGTACTGTATACCTAAAATGTACCAATAAACTCAATGAAAGAATAAAAAATAAAACCGAGAAACACCTAGAACATCTATAACCAAGAGTAAGACAAATAATGTGCTGCTATCTGATTAATGGGACATCCAACCTTTCTTGAAAGCTTATGATATCATGACACACTGAAACTTTTTCATATCAAGGACAGGGCCCCAAAAGTGGAATGGTGTGTGTTATTTATTTCTACAGAGTTGGCTATAGATTTCCTTGCATAGAGCTTTATAGACAGCAGGCATGTACCACTGGGCAACTCCGGTAATGATAATTTTATAATAATTCAATAATAGCTAACACATATTGAGTTATTCTGACCTATCTGGCACCATGTTAAAAGCTTTACATGCATCATTTAATTTAGTATTCACAATAACCTTATGAGATAGATGTTACTGTCATCTTCATTTCATTCTTGAGGTAAATGAGATACAGAGAGTTTAAATAACTTACCCAATACACAACTGCTTAGTGGAAAAATAGTCTTCAAAGCTGGAGAGTTTAAATATTAGATTTTATTGGCCCATAAACCTTGAGATTCTGCCTCTGACACAAAAATGTGTTCTGATATCCTCAGTTATTTGCTTTTAACTGGAGTGTGCACTTACTTTTTTTTTTTTTGATGAGACAGGGTCTCACTATGTAACTCAGTCTGGCCTTAAACTCACTATGTAGCTCAGGCTGGCCTCAAACCAGAGCTGATCCTCCTGAGTCAGCCTCAGGAGTACTAGGATTACAGGTATGTGTCACCACGTCCAGCTTGCACTTTCAACAAGTAATTTTCAGGTTTCTTAGGTCCTTGCTATCCAGATAGGACAAGCCATTAGATGAAAACTGACATCTCAGGCAGGACCTATCTGTTGTAACTGGGATTTACAAATTGAAAAGCCTGAAGAAAATGCAGAATGCATCCATTCCAACTTTCTTTTATATGAGTAGTCTTACTAGGGCTTGGACTGATGAAGAACTTGTCCAAAGCCAGAGAGCAGTGGTGAGATTAAGACAGATCTTCTAGGACTTTGTGGAGTGAAAATGGTGAAACAACCCACAAGGAGTTTAGCTGCACTTTTCCCAACCATATAACAAACAGGAAAGCAGACCGTTTCAAACAAACATTCTCTTCACTTTCTGGCCTTCCTTGGAACTGAGTTTTCTCCTGATCTTATTACATTTATAACCAGTTGGTGACTATTAACCAGGAACTGAGCCTGAGATTTTGCATAGATGTGGGCATTATTTTTACCCTTTCCTGTGCTCTAAGAACTTGACACTCTAGGTCAGGTCTTCCTGCTGGATGACTTCAACAACGCCCACATGGGAGATGCACTCCATAAACCATGGCCCCATATCTCTCTATTTGCTTCTTAGCACTTCAACCACTCCAGCCATTTGGCCATATTGGACATGGCTTCACCTCTAAATGACTCAACTTTGACATCCCACTGAGCACCAAACCTCCAGCAATGGCTGGACTTGACTTCAACTATTTTTTAACCCCACTGAAAGGTTCAACTCCAGAAGCCCTTCTTTGTCTCAACACTTCTATCCTTATCCTCCATAATCTTATGACATATTGAGTATCACCTGCAACTCCATCCCTGGGGCCTCCAAATACCACACCTGCACTATTTAGCCTCAGTTCTATGTTCCTCCAAATATTTGAATCCTCAACCCCATAATGACCACTGTGGGAGAAAGGAGCAGAACCCCCCAAAGTGGTGTTCCTAATAGAATTTCCAACTTCAGCTGAATTCTTCGGCCACTCAGATATCTTTCATATGCCCTGAGCCATCTCTTTTTCCCTTTCTTTTCGCTGGTGTACTCCAAGTTCTTTCACCAACTCTTCTTTAATTAGAGACCCTTTCAGTCTACCCTTACCCTGCCCTTTGCAACAGCATAGACTATTGCTTCCTAAAGACAATTTAACTCCTTGGCCTACGCCTAAATGGGTTTTCAGCTTTATTAGTTCTCACTTCATACTGTGTATCCTTCCTTCAGTTTTAGATGTCCATCGTCTCATTCTACCATTGCTGTCTCTTCGTTCCTCTATCCTTTCCTCTTGACATGCCCCCCAAAGCCTCTCACTTACACTTTTGGCAGTTCTGTGTAAATCCTTCCTCATCTCATGTTATTCATGTGCTTGAGCATGTCCCATCTTTAGAAAATTCTTTGATTCTCTATTACACAGTACAAGTGGCTCTCTCTAAGCTTGGTAAAAGATGAGGCTATTCTTTATTTTTTCTGTTGTCCCATTCATTATTCTTTCCATTCCAGTCAGGCTTCTCTTTTCCCACAACCGCAATAAAATAATGTGGCAGGGGTGATCATCAATAACCTATTAATATATTCAATAAATTCCAGTGGTGCTATTTACTGGCTTTGGTCTCAGTGACATCATCTCCTGATACTTTATATGTTTTTACAGTTCAATATTTAGAAAATATTGAGAGAGTTGTAGATGCCCATGGAGTTTGAAGAAGCAATACAAAGAAGGTTAGTAGACCCTTTACTCAGTATCCTCAATGGTAACATCTTACTGAAGTGTAGTGTAATGTTACTAGGACAATGAAATTGATACAGTCCATATGCAAGAAAGATTCCTCACCATGAGAATCCTTTCTGTTGCCCTTTTATAGCAAAATAGAAAAACTCACCTCTCACTCCCACTGCTTTCTCTTCTTAGTCCTGATAACTAATTTGTTTTTTATTTGTATATTTCTGTTATTTTAAGAGTGATATGTAGGGCCAGAGACGTACCTCAGTGATGCCACACCTGCCTGGCATGTGCAAGATCCTGAGTTCAATTTGTGGTACTGAAAAAAGAAGGAGGGG